GTGGCGTGGGAGGGGCAGGGCGGCTGAGTGCCAGTGGTGGGGAGGTTGTTCCGGGTGTGGGGCAGCGGGCATGGGAGGGGCAGGGCGGCTGAGTGCCAGTGGTGGGGAGGTTGTTCCGGGTGTGGGGCAGCGGGCATGGGAGGGGCAGGGCGGCTGAGTGCCAGTGGTGGGGAGGTTGTTCCGGGTGTGGGGCAGCGGGCATGGGAGGGGCAGGGCGGCTGAGTGCCAGTGGTGGGGAGGTTGTTCCGGGTGTGGGGCAGCGGGCATGGGAGGGGCAGGGCGGCTGAGTGCCAGTGGTGGGGAGGTTGTTCCGGGTGTGGGGCAGCGGGCATGGGAGGGGCAGGGCGGCTGAGTGCCAGTGGTGGGGAGGTTGTTCCGGGTGTGGGGCAGCGGGCATGGGAGGGGCAGGGCGGCTGAGTGCCAGTGGTGGGGAGGTTGTTCCGGGTGTGGGGCAGCGGGCATGGGAGGGGCAGGGCGGCTGAGTGCCAGTGGTGGGGAGGTTGTTCCGGGTGTGGGGCAGCGGGCATGGGAGGGGCAGGGCGGCTGAGTGCCAGTGGTGGGGAGGTTGTTCCGGGTGTGGGGCAGCGGGCATGGGAGGGGCAGGGCGGCTGAGTGCCAGTGGTGGGGAGGTTGTTCCGGGTGTGGGGCAGCGGGCATGGGAGGGGCAGGGCGGCTGAGTGCCAGTGGTGGGGAGGTTGTTCCGGGTGTGGGGCAGCGGGCATGGGAGGGGCAGGGCGGCTGAGTGCCAGTGGTGGGGAGGTTGTTCCGGGTGTGGGGCAGCGGGCATGGGAGGGGCAGGGCGGCTGAGTGCCAGTGGTGGGGAGGTTGTTCCGGGTGTGGGGCAGCGGGCATGGGAGGGGCAGGGCGGCTGAGTGCCAGTGGTGGGGAGGTTGTTCCGGGTGTGGGGCAGCGGGCATGGGAGGGGCAGGGCGGCTGAGTGCCAGTGGTGGGGAGGTTGTTCCGGGTGTGGGGCAGCGGGCATGGGAGGGGCAGGGCGGCTGAGTGCCAGTGGTGGGGAGGTTGTTCCGGGTGTGGGGCAGCGGGCATGGGAGGGGCAGGGCGGCTGAGTGCCAGTGGTGGGGAGGTTGTTCCGGGTGTGGGGCAGCGGGCATGGGAGGGGCAGGGCGGCTGAGTGCCAGTGGTGGGGAGGTTGTTCCGGGTGTGGGGCAGCGGGCATGGGAGGGGCAGGGCGGCTGAGTGCCAGTGGTGGGGAGGTTGTTCCGGGTGTGGGGCAGCGGGCATGGGAGGGGCAGGGCGGCTGAGTGCCAGTGGTGGGGAGGTTGTTCCGGGTGTGGGGCAGCGGGCATGGGAGGGGCAGGGCGGCTGAGTGCCAGTGGTGGGGAGGTTGTTCCGGGTGTGGGGCAGCGGGCATGGGAGGGGCAGGGCGGCTGAGTGCCAGTGGTGGGGAGGTTGTTCCGGGTGTGGGGCAGCGGGCATGGGAGGGGCAGGGCGGCTGAGTGCCAGTGGTGGGGAGGTTGTTCCGGGTGTGGGGCAGCGGGCATGGGAGGGGCAGGGCGGCTGAGTGCCAGTGGTGGGGAGGTTGTTCCGGGTGTGGGGCAGCGGGCATGGGAGGGGCAGGGCGGCTGAGTGCCAGTGGTGGGGAGGTTGTTCCGGGTGTGGGGCAGCGGGCATGGGAGGGGCAGGGCGGCTGAGTGCCAGTGGTGGGGAGGTTGTTCCGGGTGTGGGGCAGCGGGCATGGGAGGGGCAGGGCGGCTGAGTGCCAGTGGTGGGGAGGTTGTTCCGGGTGTGGGGCAGCGGGCATGGGAGGGGCAGGGCGGCTGAGTGCCAGTGGTGGGGAGGTTGTTCCGGGTGTGGGGCAGCGGGCATGGGAGGGGCAGGGCGGCTGAGTGCCAGTGGTGGGGAGGTTGTTCCGGGTGTGGGGCAGCGGGCATGGGAGGGGCAGGGCGGCTGAGTGCCAGTGGTGGGGAGGTTGTTCCGGGTGTGGGGCAGCGGGCATGGGAGGGGCAGGGCGGCTGAGTGCCAGTGGTGGGGAGGTTGTTCCGGGTGTGGGGCAGCGGGCATGGGAGGGGCAGGGCGGCTGAGTGCCAGTGGTGGGGAGGTTGTTCCGGGTGTGGGGCAGCGGGCATGGGAGGGGCAGGGCGGCTGAGTGCCAGCTCCGTGGTTCACAGACGCCATCAGCGCCACGAATCCCAGAGTCATCGACGACTCTCGGGCCCGGAAACTGTCCAATGACCTGAAGCGCTGCACCTACTACGAGACCTGCGCCACCTACGGCCTCAACGTGGAGCGAGTCTTCCAGGACGGTAACTGCAGCCCTGTGCGGAGCGGCCCCCTCCCCCTCCAGCTGCCCCACACACAGGGACTGGCACCTCTCAGTGCTCCACGAATCCCAGAGTCATCGACGACTCTCGGGCCCGGAAACTGTCCAATGACCTGAAGCGCTGCACCTACTACGAGACCTGCGCCACCTACGGCCTCAACGTGGAGCGAGTCTTCCAGGACGGTAACTGCAGCCCTGTGCGGAGCGGCCCCCTCCCCCTCCAGCTGCCCCACACACAGGGACTGGCACCTCTCAGTGCTTGTCCCCCCCATGGGCCTACCTGGGCCACAGGGATTGGGAGGCGG